TATTTGATCTCTATGATAAATCTTATACCATGGACTTAGAAGATTTTCATACTGCTTGTAAACTCCCGCAGTGGGGGTAGTGTTAGTGAACCTCGCAAATCTGAATTTAAAGAATTCCTTGCTAGTATCACTATGGAGAAATCTAGAGAATTAACACAAGCTGCCATAGGGAGCATTCATTTTCTTGTCATACATTATTTTGCTCTCTTCGTGGGTAGATGCATTAACGATAAAGATGAGGCTTGCCACATGTGCGTTCCAGATCTTAGTGTTCTCAAGAGTGCGGTATTGGGTGATAAACAATATAACTTGGGGGCTATTGTTGCACATAGTTTGCATCTTAATAGTTTTTATCGGCACCTAAGAATATGAAGCAGATTGATTCTTTATATGTTTTTTTTGCGTTATATATCTTTCGCCTACAACTTGAGAATGAAACTATGAATAATTCAGTGCATCGATCGTCTTGCCTAAATGCATACTAATTGACCAATTAGTTATGTAGATTGTCTTATTTGATTGTATCGTGACTTTGATTTTTTTTTCGTTACCTTAAAAATCTGCCCCAGGTAACTTCAAATCCTGGATCCGCCACTGAAAACAGTAAGACAGAGCTACCTACGAGCCTCCACATTAATTTTGATCTACGAACGCGTTGGATTTGCTCGGTCGTCAACTCGTTACGCACGTATGGAGAACCATTTTGCGGGCAGCTGCTCCGCAGAATTAGCTGCGGTTCCCGTCCATAATCGGGCCGTAAGATGTCCAGCCCAATTTGCAAAGCATATCATTCGTACATGAACTTGCAGGTCGTCCAGGTCTCTTCCTCTATCCCCGAGCGCCGGCCCTATCCCTATCCCTGAGCTCCTCTGTTGGTCGAGGCTGCGCCGCCACCGTCCTCAATCCCGGCGGCGAGCTTCCGCGCCCTCTGATACCCATCTACTCTTCTTCTGCAGGCCCCCATGGTGGGTCTCTTCTTTACTTTATTTTTTAATGTCGTCTCCTGCAGCGTTCTGCCTTGGCGACTGCGGCAGCCGCACGCGCTGCTGGCTTCCATCGCCGATTGTATTCCTCTTGCGTCCGCCTCCATGCGCTTGCAGCTGGTGGCTGTGGTAACGGGACTGACGGTGAAGGAGATTCGACAGAGCCGATCCTGACGAGCACCTCATCCTCCTTTTACTCCGCAGGATCAGCGTCCCCTTTTCTTTTGTGTCTGACCAACAGGGTACGCGAACAACGTCTCCCTGGCAACAGGCCATAGAAATTAGATTCGATCTGCAACATCTGATTCTATGGTTGATTTCCCTTGATTTATAGATAATTTTAGCTGGCTTCATAATCTGCAGGTAGGATGACGTACGTTGTTGATTTGTTGTACTGATGCGTGATCGGGCATCTCGGGAGGATGTGTACTGTTTTGTATGACAGATTCCTTGACTTGCAAGTTGCAACAATGGAATTCATGTATTATGCATAGTTTTTCTGAAAGCTATTATGCATAGTTGTATATTTGCATTAGCTTTATTGGTTATATATGAATTTACTAACAGATTATGTCCACCATTTTCATTGTTAAATTGTACCCTGAATAACCTTTGATACTTTAGCAAGTTCTATGTGATTATAAATTCAGTGTGGTGCTACTTTTTGTAGACTATTTGATCAAATGCTCATGTACTTTAAAGATTTACCTTACATCTGCATTTTTGTTCTGGTGCATTGCATGTTTTAGTAAACTGAAATTCCTGATATGCTTGACAGCTAGGCCATGGACAACACATTGCAGAGGCCATTAATATGTAGCAAAGCCATTTTATGAGGTCGTCGTTGACAACAATGTTATGCTCAACTTTGAGAGCCAATCTTCTTTTATCCGTATTCAACTCTTGTTGGTAACATATTCATCTCTTGTTAGGCACGCTTATACGCTGATGTTACATTTTTGCCGGATTTTGATGTTTGTGCATCGGAGAGCTTCCTTGATGCTGGCATCAGCTTGGAAGTTGTTGCTTTTCAGAGAACTCTGGGAACCATATATCCTTCACAAGGCACACAATTATTCAGAAGAATAGTAACTGTTAGTCGTGCTTAGATGCTTCACATTCCATTCTTTTACTGCCCCCAAACGTACTATAACAAACAATCATCTTCATATTTGAGGCATTGCAGTTTTGGATACTCATACTTCTTACATATATTTGTACCATCTAAATTTATGGCAGATATTTCTTCTATTTTTTATTAAAATGGACGAGCGCGACAACACGTGCCTTCATGGTCTAGTAGTAGATTATGAGACGGAGGGAGCGGCAATTATAGTTTCAAATGGTGCAATACAGGCCCGTCGGCAACAGTGACCCTTCCCTCACGAACCATCTTAGCTCTCCTGATCTGACTATCTTGCCTTACTCTTTTCCGTTGTCATGTGTCGTCAAGATGCACAAGTACATTAGTTGTCACACTGTTTATCTGCTCGTGTTCAAGATTTTTCTTACAAACAGGTAGTTTTTTTACTAGGACAATGTTCATGTGTTGCAACGGGATATAAATATTTTAATATTTTAGTATTTAGCTTGTGATTACCGGCCTATATTAATGCGATTGTGTAATGTTTCAAATCATGTTCGTGATTTATCTTACAGTTTGATGAGAAGATTGGCAAATAAATCTCTACTACTTAAAAAGAACGTTAGGTTCCCATTTCAACTTTCTTCCATCACCTCTTCGTCCAACCTTCCTTGTATAATAATAAATCAACTTAATTTACTTACATTTTGAACCATTTCTAATTTAATTTACTTATCAAACTTCTGATCAAAATATAAGGTGATTCATGGGCAGAATTTCATGATCATTTATTTATACAATTGCTTTATTATAGACAGTAAAATCACAAACCGACGTACTAGAAGATTTAAATCCCGTTGCAACGCACGGG